ATATATATATATATATATATATATATATATATATACATACACACACACATACACATATATATACACACACACATACACACATTAAAGTGTCTTCCAACTCTAATAGTATACAAATATACTGAAACCATCCCAAATCAAGCACTTTAAATTTCTATCCTGCAGAACACTATTAGAAGAACTAATGACCATAAGCATGTTTTGAAACCTGACTAACGTATGTACACACATTTCTTCCCACACCCAGGGGAACATATTGAAAGAAAAAAAATGTTAAATCTAATGTAATCTAAGCTAATGTAATAGTACTGGCTAATATTTATTAAATATTAACTGTGTGCCAAGCATTTTGACACACATTTATTAATTTATTTTATATAACAACCCTATGGAGTTGAGATTATTATTGTCTCAACTTTACACACAAGGAATCTGAAATACCACACCACAGAGAGGTTACGTGACCTGTTCAAAGTTAAACAGCAAGTTAACAGTAAAGTCAGAATTTAAAGCTGGGCAGTCTGACCCTGAGTCTGGAGTCTCTATGGGAAAACTCAGCATCTAGTGAGGGAGGAGGGAGGAAAAACTATACCCTGTGCTGAAGTAGACCTGGAGCGTTGGAGCCCATGGGTCCCCATCACAGACTCACTGTCCTTGGTCCTCATTCTCCATATCATTTTGCATGGAATAAAACTGTTCAAGGAAGGAATTTTGAAACATTTTCCTTTTTAGTTAAGGAGCACAGTGTCTCCCTGGTCTGCCTCCTCATTTTCTCCTCCTCACTAAGCACTCACACGAAGTACCCATCAAGGACTAGAACATCGGTTTGAGTAAGCTGACAGCTTGAAGCAAGATATCTGAAGTTGCAGGGAGGGTGAGCCACCTGGGGTGTTTCTTGGCAATCCAGTGCCCCTCCCCTGCCACCTAAATTATGGTGACTTAAAGACAATTAGATGGGCCCAAGTCTTTAAAAAAATAAAAAAGGAGCAACAGGACTATGGTGGAAGAGAGTAGTGGGAGGGGAATGTAAAATTTGGACTATAACAATAACATGGGAAAACAAGGGACCAAGAGACAGCCGTGGTAGGTTAGAAAGAGCACTTGACTTGAAGTCAGAAGCCCTGGTCTTTATACCAGTTGCATCTTTCAATAGAAGCATAACTCTGAATGTTACCTCTGTGAGCCTCAATGACCTCATCTGTAAAATGGAGATAGCATGAAGAGTTGTTGTGAAGACTAAAGATGGCTTTGATATTGATGTGCACACTGTAAAGTACACGGCAAACATGAATTAAAATGGCAGAGCACCAACCCAAGGTGGCTGGGCAAAAAGGTCAGGGGAGTTGGGTGTTTGGACATGGAGCAGCCAGAATTATTTTTTTTCCAACAAATCCTTGGGTCAACAAACACAAAACAGCTCTGCTGTCAAGAAAAAAACTGTAAGCAGGTATGTTTGAAAGTCACTTCTGAAAGAGACATTGAAGAAGGGATGCAAAATGTTGAGGGTAGAGAGAAACTCCTTCCAGCAAGAGAGTGAATGATGACACCGTAGGTCATGGTGGCTGAAGAGGAAAGAGTGATTTGTTGTCTAACTCTCCAGCCATGATGGGACTGTAACTAATGAGGTTATTCTGGTTACAAAGGAAGCATTCAGCCCCATAATGAAAAACTCTTTGGCAACTAGTGTTGGGGAAAGAAAAAACAAACCAGCAGCTTATTATTAGTTCCATAGCAAGTTAATTAATTTTTGCCAGCACTGCAGGTCACTTGCTGACCAGAGCATCTGTCTCACTCAACTGAACAGCTGGAGGGATGGCGGGCGTGTCTCCAGGACATGCACATGTCTTGGTTCTGGGAGTAGGAGGTGTGGCCAACTACAAGGCTGAAAAAACATGAGTTTCTGAGGTTCTTGCTTCTCCCCCCAATTCCATGGTCCACTCAAGGTGGGCCAAGAGACTAGCAATTCCACAAGATACAAAGGAAACAAAAATACTTAGAATGAGGGTTTTTTCTGCCTCTATATATCATTTAAATAAGCAGAGTGCCACAGTGCCATGAACAATGTGCTGGCCTGCAGAAGTCCTATCCAAACTACAGGGCCAGCTCTCCCACTGAAAAGCTCTGAAGCCATGATAAGATTGCTTAACTTCTCCAGGTGTTAACTTCTCTTAACATCTCCAGCTTCCCTTAGCTCATCTGAACTATTCACCTGCATGAAAGGATGCTCATTCAGCATCTTTTCTAGCATTAGGAAATATGAGTTAATAAATATAACCTTTCTCACAGAAATGTCAAGCATTTGACACATACTACTGAGTATCCTCTCAGAAAGATATCAGTGGCCTGGTATAGCCCCTCTTCAGAGATGGGTGAGCCAAGGTAAAGAAAGCACTCGAACAAAATACCCACATATTTGTACAGAGGTTGACCTGGCCTCAAAAAAGTACTAGCATTTTTAAAGACATATAATATGTAAGTATAATGAACGTCATTCTGTTCAGCATGCATATTCATGCTAGTACATTTACTTTCTAGGGTGGATTAAGTGATATATATTTTCTTAATTATATGCTTTGTGTAATATAATACGCACATATATAGTATTTATTACATACTCACCCTAGAATAGACCAAGATAAAGAGGCCCATAAACTCCATTAAAACAGGCACCGTAAGTTTAACCCCCTCTTTGAGCCAGTTTAAGCTACTGTTCAGCTGCTGTGGTTTTTAAGTCTCTTCTATTTTGCCTAAGGTTATAAAGTTTTCAGCAAAAAGAAAAAATCAAGTTGGGGAGGGGCTCATTATCTCAAGTCACCACATACATCTTACTGGGCTTTCACAGTTGCCTTCCCTCCGTCTCCTTTTGAACAAGAGACCATGAAGTTAAAGCCCAAGTTTTAATGTCTATGCAGGTGCTCAAGAACTGTGGGGTCCTTCTCCTGCCATCTCCCAGCACACATATTCACTGTCAAGCCTGCTGCAGTTAGTTAACAGGAATGACTGCAGATCCTCTAAAACCATTCAAACAAAAGAATTAGTGGCTGATAGGGAGATTTGCAGTCTCACCGGGAACAATGCTACTTAAGGAAATTAGCATTGCATTTACAGACAGCACTTCATGTCCCATGGCAAATCAGTTGGTGAGGGTCCCAATTAGGCAGTGTGCATGACTAACACGACTGCATCTGGGAGCAGGCGCCTTTGCCTCGGAAAAGTGAGTTGAGGAGATGGGATGGAGTCTACGCTGTGAGTTGCCACTGCCATCTACTGTGACTTAGCATTGCATAGAAACTGGACTGCTCACAAAAGTTTGCCACACACTTTATATGAGCAGGAAGGTGAGGCATTCAAACTGCTGTGTTCTACATCAGGAGATAAGTTCAGGGAAATGAAGCAAATTACCTAGACTCTCAAGGCTGAGACTAGACCCATGTTAGTTCTTGAAAATTTAATTTATGTATTTATGTATATATGAATCTGTGTTTATATCTATTTTTATTTTCAGGTCTTGAGCTTCATAAAAAATTTACTATACGCAATTTAACCAGTCTCTTAGAGATACCCCACCTCCCTCTTTTCTCTTCCTATCTGTGCTCCCTGTGTTCTTTTCCATCTTCTCACTTTGTCTCATCTCTCCTCACCTCTTCTGTGCTGTCTCCCTTTTCTTTGCCCTAATATAGCCTTTTTTTTTTAACATATCCTAATTCTCTGTATTATTAGCTAGAATACACCTTTTGAAAAGATCAACACTCCCATCCCAGGACCTCATAAAATAAACAGCCTTTTAATATATACAATTTGGGAAGGAAGCCTTGACCTTCACAAGCAAGACCCTGATGTAAGGAGGAAAATGGAGGTGAGAGGAATGTCCCTTAGGGACCCAGTACCAGTACCCAGCCGGGGTTCTGCACCCATAGACTCTCAGACATGCTCACTGACTAGGTTGTATAATTAAACTTTGGTCCAGGAGATGCTGTACCAGCTGAATAAGGAAAGCATTTGGACTGACTGTGAACACAGATCAAAGAACACTTTAAAGCCTGAGTCATCTGTGTTCAATTTATTCAGGGGAGAAAGGAACAAACAGTCCAAGAAGAGTAGCCAAGACAGGCCTGAGCTGTTCCCCCTGAAGGCCACTCTTATCCAGAAGTCACCTGTGGGGCTGGGGCCACCCTGTGAATGCCAGCTACCCAGCTCTATCAATCCTCAGACCAATGCCTAACACTATCCTCTCTTTCCTTCCAATAGGTGGGGTGTGATGAATAAGGAAAAAAGGAAAGATACACAGGAGGAAATGAGGGCAAAAGAGGGATAAGGGAAACCAGGAGAAACTGGGAAGAAGAAAAAGAGGAGAAATAGAGATAGGTCAAGAAAGAGGGGAGAAGGAGAGCAAAGGGGTGGTTAAAAACATGGGTACATGCAGCAGGCAGGAAGCTAGGAAGGCTGGAACCTTCCTTCTAGTCAAGACTGTGCACAGCTGCACAAAGTGCACTGATTTCTTCCCTTTGGGATCTTCTTCATTTCCATTATTTTCAGTACTTCTTGTCTCCTCCTAAATGTGATTATACAGCCCTCCCCCACTTCCACCTGGAAGTACTGCTTTGGTCATAAAGGCAGAAAGGCATTTGGCCATAAAGGAATTCCTACACGATGCCCTAACTGAAACCATGGTGCTCGCCCTATGTCTTCTCCATTGGTTGACTTCTCCCATGAAACCCTCATGGTGGGCATTTTCTTATGTGGTTAAAAGCACTTACTTACCCTCTGCTCCTCTCTGGCACCTGGTAACATAGGTATAGAAAGAAAGGGAAAACATCAATATTTATTGAGTACTAAGCATTATGCTAGGAATTTTATTTATGTTGACTCATTGAAATCTCATCAGAGCCCTACATGAAGGTATTATTATTCCTATTTTACAGATGATAAAGTAATTCTGCACTGATGCTGTGATTGGGACATATCCCTAGGACCCATCACACTGTCTGGTTCATTATATTTTCACTGAATGAATAAATGTTTCCACTTCTACGACTGAGATAAGAATAGTTTATGACAATGTCGTGAGGACACATGAATGTGAAATCCCTTTGAATTCTAACAACAGAAAGAACAGTAACTGTTTAGGTTTTACAGGTGTTGATCTAAGGCCTTGTATTATACTAATCATTTAATCTTCACAATAACCCTATAAGGTAGGACTCTATTTGCATTGTGCATATGAGAAATAAAGTATTTTCCCGAGGTCATACTGCTAATAAATATAGTCAAGAAGTGAACTCAAGCAGTTTGACGCCACAGTCCTTGTAACCACTCTATACTTTACTTGCACACTTACTGAAATGGCTGTTCTGCATCACTCAGAATCTGCAAAGCAGGAAATGTTGGCCCAACAGAGGTAAATGTAAGAAAAGCTCTTATCAGCTGAACTCTCACTTATATAGCAGGTTTCATACTATATCTTTCATAGGTCTTTTCAATGACCATGCCATCCTAATGTCAGCTAGGGTCTGCTTCCCTGCCCTCTGAAGTCTAGAGAAGATGAGCCTAAACTTCCCATTCCATACCTTGTGGAAGTTTAAAATTCTCAAATTCTCATTAGAATTGCCAAAATTCCCAGATGCTCATGGCCATTTCTGGCTTCAAACTCATGGACTGTTTCATTTATGCCAGTGTTATGTTTGTTTTGTAACAAGGTGGTGCCAAGGTGAAACTTGACCCCTTCCTTGAGTTCCACCAGAAAAAATACTTATGTAAAAAAATTTCTGTGTCTACTACAATACAATAGTTTTTAGGTGGGGACAACAATAAATTCAGAGAAATTTACATCCAACGAATACAAACAATCTCAAAGTGAACATTAGGTATGCCAGATCCTACATTCCTTCAATCACTCCTCCCGTAAGAAACTATCAAAGATAGCTTCACTGGTGCTTTCTCCCCTCTCTCTTCTTTCAGGAAGTGTCCTCTCACTATTTTCAACAGAACACATGGACATCTAGGACTTTAGATCTGCTATCTGCCCCTCAAGTAATCTACATGAAGATATTTTTTCAAATAAAGGCAGTTTCTTCCCCAGAGGAATTTGTGTGCCAGCTTGCTACATGATGACATCACTTTCATGAAAGTATGAGCTCCTTGGGAAAAGTACCATATCTTTACACTGCTATGTATTTCCCACTAGGCCTAGAAGAGTGCCCAGCAGATACTAAGTGCTCAAGAGCTGTTTTGATGATTGACAAGAAACCAGAGATTCATGTATTTGTATATTGACTCATAGAAAGTTTGACTGTTAGACTAATACTCCCTCCACTGAACCATTCTCTGAACAACACTGACTTTCCATAAATCTATGTTCAACTACCACTATATTTCCTTAAAGGGAAATTCATAAATCAGAGCAGACTAAACTGTGGGCCTAATTTCCTTCACTGAAACTCATAATATTCATCTTCTCAAGTGACCATAATACATGATTCCAAAATGACCTAGTGATTATGTCTCGGGACACCGAAAAAAGTTTAAGTAAAAATGTCCTGATTACATTGATACAAAATACTTTCAGGAAGCCATGCTCTTATTAATCACTTCAGGTGAGTCAAAGTAAACACAATCAGTTAAAGCTTTAAGAAAAAAAATCGAAATAAAATTCTTGGTCCAAAAATGATTGCTCTCCCTCCCCCATCGTCCTCCTTCACTCCCTCCCCCATTCTCTCAGCAAATTTTACCCAATAAAGGACACAGACAGTGATGACAGCTGTGCTAGAACAATTTCCCTTTATTGAGTTTAACCTCATGAGGACCATTTAAGAAGACTGGATTTTATCTTGGGTGACTCACAGATGTGTCATGTATTTAAGATATATTGAATATCCTCTCACAACAGGGTTTAAAGAATCAGGCAATCTCTTCAGCTATTTTCCATTCTCTTTTGTTTAATGTTTAAAGGAAAACATAGGACAAAATCTAGTGGACATCAGGGCTTGTGAAAATTTAGACTTGGTTCCCCATGTATCAATACAGGGAAATCACAGCAAATATGTCTAGTCTATAACCTGATATATTTCAGGTCTAGATATTTACAATGCTTCTCTCTTATATTTGTCTATGTGTCATGTAGAGAAATAATGAAATGTTTGGCTCCATGCTGAAAACACCCTAAGAGGAACTTTTGAAAACATTTCTTTGTTATGTGAAAACAAAAAAATAAGAGGAAGAAAAGAGAGAAGGGTAATATCTCTGAGAACTCCCTTGTTTTCTTGGTTCCTCAATTACTTCCTCCTGATTAGTATAGCTTTCCCAATTCTTCCCCAAGTAAAACCTCCAGAGTTGTTTCTTCCCCAAATGTTGCTCTTATTGTTAGTGTCTCTGAGAAGCAGGAGAGACAGCCTCAGCCTATTAAGGTCTCACTTCTACAAGCAAAGATAGTAATGATGGTATGACATTCGCACCATAGTTCAGAGCCAAGATTTGCCTAAGTCCAGAGAAACTTTCCATGGGATGATAGAAAACTAAACTCTTGATCTGCTCTTTCTATTTCTGAGCTCTGTTTCTCAGATAATGGCATTACAAAATATCCAGTTGCTGAAACAATACAATAAAGTTAATATTGATTCTCTTTTCTTCAGTTATCAAGATTCACAGCCTTCTTCCTACTCCCAGTGGGACTGCTCTGGTTTGGGTCTTCATTTGTATTTGAGTAGCCTCTTACCTGGCCTTGTTTTGGCCACTCTTTCCTCATATTCTTCCTCCATCACTATCAGACTGATCTTGGTAAAACAATATCTGGTCAAGTTACCCCTCTGTTTGTAAACCCATTAATGTCCTTCTACTGTCTGCCTTATAAAGTCTGGATTCCTTACTGTGACTTTCAAAGTCCTTCATAAGCTGGTTCTAAACACATCTTTCCATCCTGTGTCCCACCACAACTCCATCTCACCTTGCCCCTTGCCCTGCCCCGACCCATCAGCATAATGGCTTTCAACTGTTGAATCTCTACTCTGTGCTCTACACAGTGCTATGTTCCATACAGACAACCCTTCACTTTATCCTCCTAACAATGCTTAGAGCTGATACAGTCACTGTTAGAATTTTACAGACCGGTTACAGAGGTTAAGTAAATTGTCTCTATCTTCTGGCTGAACTGCCCTTTCCTTCCACATCTTAGATAATATTTTTCCCTTCCTTTAAGCCCCTAGTCAAATAACACCTACTCTTTAAAGCTGGCCTCAGCAATATTTGGCTCTTTCAACTCCCCCTTTTCTTCCATCTAATGTTACTCTCAGTCTCTATTTTTCTGTAGAATGCTCTCTAAACTTGATTACAGCAACAATCACTATCAGTTTACTGTGTCTGTCACCTGCTCTAAACCATGAACTATCCTTTATGTCTTATGCATTTGTAACATTCTTTATCCTTTACATCTATCATGAGCCTGGCACACAGTAGGTACTAAATAGCTGATTATAGGGTTGAGTGCTGGGCTCCAAGATGTTGGAGGGATCCTAGGTATTAGGGGTTGAGAGGGAGCCTATGCAGGGTAAGGGCATGGTGCCAAGGATAAGCAGGGAGGGCTCTTGGCTAGGCCATTATTCTTATCTCATCATTCAGAATTAGAGTTGAAGTCCATTATGCGACCACATGATATTGTATGCATCCATGGGGCTTATTCTGGGAACGAGAACAAGGCTATACCTGGGATTAGAAACCAGATAGACTTGCTAGCTTTCAAAGGATTTTTTCATTAAAGCACACAGATAAAATATAATATAAATTTCACTCACGTAAGTGCTGCCTCCTCTTCTTCCTGAGAAGTAATGAAATAATTAAATAGAACTGACCCCTAACTTGAACCTCCCCGCCCCACATCTCCCCACTATGATACATCGCCGTTTCTCATTCCCTTCTGCTGTCCTGCCACCATGCTGAAGTTCACGCAACAGTGCTCATCTCTAGGCCATTTTCAATTAATTTCCTGAGTAAAATTTCACGAGACACTATCAAACCTTTTGCTAAAATCAAGATATATTACATCTACTCTATTCCCTTAGTCTACTAATCAAAAAAGCAATCAACTTTGTCTGGCATGATTTGTTCTTTTAAAACCCATAATGCTTATTGCTCATAATTCCATTATCCTAGATAGTATTTTTTTCCTCTTAATATTTGTTCCACTATTTTAACAGGGATTGAATTACTAGACGGTCGTTTCTAGGATCCCTTTCTCCCTCGCTGCTTTGAAAGTTTGCTACCTAATTTGATACTATCAACATAACGGTGTTTCCTTACTGTGCTGCATCACAAAAGAATAAGAAAGGGACTTTCAGGAGTCACTTGGTCAATGTCCCTGTTTCTTCACAAGGCTCTCATCACCTTCCCGAACCACTGTAGACCACTATCCATTATTCAGTGTCTCCCAAAAAGGAGTGTCTGAGATCTCCTTTGCTAACTGAATCAATGAGTCATAACCTTATGCTTAGGAAGCATGTCTT